CTTGGTAGCGCTGGTAGGTGGCCATCGCGTGCAAAGCAGAAGCAGCCTGGCCCGCAGCCTTATAAGCTCTGGCTCCGAGGGAGGCAGACAACCTACAGGCTTTGGACGGGAGGCGGGGCAAACCCCGCCACGTAGAGGCGCCGCGCGGACAAAGATTGACCGCGATAGCGCGCTCCACTGACGGGATCGCCTCATACCCCCTGGCAGCTCCGCCGTCAAGGGCGGTGAGGGCGGAGGCACACGCAGCACGGGCAGAGAAAGGTGCCCTCCAAGACTGCGTGAGCCTACTGTGCACTTCCGGGAAGAAGGGGACGAGAGGCTTCGAAGGCTTCGCCTTCTGGTCCTCTACGTAGCACCCATCTAGTCGGTCCGGCCGCGGAGCTGGGGGATAAACCATCTCCAACCCCACGGCCGAAGCAGCCCGGGAAAGCACGGCTAACATGTCCGCTTCAGGATCCGATTTGACAGCGCTCACCTGCCCGGAGGGGGCGAGCGGGTCCGGATCTTCGTTGGACAGTGAAAGCCCACCCTCCGATGCCGCGGAGGACATCTGATCTCCGGTGTCAGCGAGTGTGAGAGCTACCATCTGGTTAGACGGATCACTCTCACCACACGAAGCTTGGATGGAGCGCCGTGAGGAGCGAGAGGTCCGCGAGCCCGTGGGCGGCGGATTATCTCCCGCTGAAACCCTCAGATCTGCCCGAGCGCCCGCTGCTTTTTTAGAACAGGAGACAACTGGGGTGGCTCGCTCTCTTGCGAAAGTTAGCCGCGATCTTAGCTGTGCAACGGTCATGGCATCGCAATGACGACATGAACCGCCCGCGAGCACCGCATTAACATGCTGGACCCCCAAACATGCAATGCAGTGATCGTGTCCATCATCCGGAGCCAGGAAACCCCCGCATCCAGAAACGCACAGTCGGAGCGCCATCCTGAAAAGGACGTGCTGCACGACTGTGTTGCTCTTTTAGGAAAGTTGCAACTATACGCACCGCTCTGGAGGACCGGACCCAAAGAACCGCAGGCAAGGGAGTAACCCAGCTCGACCGTCTGCCACCGCGAAGACCCACTCTGGACCGGGAGACACACTCGTTCGCTCTGAAGTGCTGATCAGCAAGAGGAACCCTCATCGACTCACTCAGAAAGGATCTGAAGCGAAAAGGAAGGATGGCGTCTGCTGGCTTCAGGTGTGCTTATATGCTGAGATAATTGCAGATGTCGCACACCTGCGCAAGCTTACGCTGCCAATTAATTTCATTCATTGGCCCGTTCAATACTCTCCAGACAAGCGGCTTCTGATCCGAATCCTCCCAATGCGTGGATTTTACAAATCAAATCCACTTATAGTGCTGAAGTTCCCCCCGAAGGGGAACAAAAAATTTCACCGGTACACAAGATGGCGAAACTTCATGGTTCTGACGCTTTCTGCACAAAAGTAACCCTTGTGGTTTTGTCCTTGTGTATTTATCACATAAGCGTTTGCACTTCTGTTTACTTCCTCCACTACAGTGCATAAACACCTGGCCAAATGTTTGCAGGAAGAAGTTACAAGCCATGAAAGAAAATTATGTGTAATAAAATTCAACAATTTGATCTATGTAAAATGTGAACAAATGTGAACGACATGTAAACAAAAACACCTCTGACTGGCTGACGAGTTTATTACGCAGTGCATCAAAAAACAGACAAAAAACAGCCCGATATAATCTCCAAACTACACATGACTGCATCATGTGATGAAAGGCATCATGCTAAAGGGAGTTTTTGTCCCAACCATCCACGACAACATCCTGAGATTTGTACGTCAGTGGCTGGGCAACATTAATTCATTCACTTTCCTTCAGCTTAGTCCCCTTTTTATCAGGGGACACCACAGCGGAATGAACCCCCAACTATTCCAGCATATGTTTTATGCAGCGGATACCCTTCCAGCTGCAACTCAGTACTGGGAAACACCTATACACTATCACATTCACACATACACTCATACACAACAGCCAATTTAGTTAAACCAATTTATCTATAATGCATGTCTTTAGACTGTCGGAAACCAGAGAAAACCCACGTGAACATAGGAAGAACATGCAAACTCCACACAGAAATGCCCACTAGCCCAGCCGTGACTCGAACTAGCAACCATCTTGCTGTGAGGAGACAGTGCTAACCACTGGGCCACCATGCTGCCCGGCTGAACAACAGCATACACTAATAAGACAACGATCACAATGATTCAAACTGTGTTCTAAATTAAAGCAACGGCATGCGATAGAAGGAATATTTTCATTTTAAAAGGATTTTTTGTCCTAACAAACAGCTCAAATTTATATTTTAGAAATGGTTTCTATTAGGGATGTAACGGTATTGTAAATACCGTCATACCGCAATATTAAATTTTTTCGATATTACCGAAGTCGCATGACTCGGTAAAACTATAGATCTTCAGAGAAAATTTGCTCAGGCGAATGAAGCGAACGGGAGGTAGCTGAAACTTCATTTCCCATCAGCCCCGGCGTGGCCATAATCCTTTGCGGTCTGTTGTCGCTACAGATCCAGTAATGCGGAAATGGAGTGTGCTGCTAGTAGCGGAGATGAAAAAAAGATGGAAATGATCGAACCTAAAGCGGGTGTTGTCGCCGCGCGCGTGCTGAATAGCGGTGCTGTCGCGCGCGTTCTGATCAGCTGTGTTGTGGCGCGCGTATTGTAAAGCGCCGAGGGGGGGGGTTGAGCGCGCATACCAAGAGAGGTGTTGTCGCGCGCCTACTGAAGGGCTGGACTGGACGGAGGTTGTGTCGCGTCGCGGGGGCACTTTTGATCGTTTTGGAAGGGCATTTTCTATCCAAGACTAAAAAGGGCATGTGCACTGCACAGGTTGAGCCCTATGTGTGCACGTGCCTGCAAGTTGGGGAATACGACTAATAACAGTCATGGGGACTGCAGAAACACAGCACTGTTCAGATTGATGCAGACATTGACTTGTACCGCAAAGAGACCTCTATCTCACTCATGGTTTGTCTTCTCAAGTGGGGGAAAGACAGTGCACAACGTTACCCCACTGCTGTCAACATGGGCCAAGTCATATCTCTCTTGTCCCAGAAACCTCAGTCCCAAATGAGAGGGTTTTTTCTGTTGCAGGGGACATTGTAAATGCCCAGAGATACCAGCTTTTACCAGATTATAATTATATGATAATTTTTCTTTAAACCCATCTCTATCTAAGTGAGTGATTAAATGTTGAATGTGATGAGTTTTCAACAATACTAAATTGAAACTTTATTTTTTTACATGGTTTAATAATTTTTTGTTATTAAAATTGAAGTTCCTGTTTCAAAGCTAACAGATAGATGGCTAATTTGTATGTCATTGACACTTTTGGCACTTTTTTGGAGTATTTTCAAAAGTTTTTTTTTTCCTGTAAATGATTCAATAAATACCGTACCGTAACATTCATACCGAGGTATTACCGAACCGTGAAATTCTGATACCGTTACATCCCTAGTTTCTATATTTTGCAGCTGACGACATTATCACGTGCTTTATTCAGTTTTAAACGCTAATAATGTGAATTTGAATGCCATTTTACATGACATTTATTGCCATACTACTGAAAGTAACAGCAGAAAGTTTACCTCAGATCTTGAAAATAAAATAGACCGTTTGAAATTGAACTCTGGAAATGTGACTCAAAACCAACAAATTCAGCATGTACCTTTAACAATGTTAAAGATGTTTAATATGTATTAATTAGAGTATAAACCTTACCATTTCATGAGTGGGTGCATATTCTGTTGTTCTGAATGGATGTATTTAAATTTATGCTGTGTTTCGTCTGGTACAAACAGGCAAATTGCTTATCACTGCAAATCTCATCACATAGCATGTTGTAATACACGTGGTTACAATCTAACCTGCTCATCTAATGTTTATGCTTGTGATATTTATATTTATCGCTAATAATAACCTCATGTGGAACTCTGAATCTGCGTCTCATTTCAGAGTCTGCTACTGTCCACTGGAGGTTACATTTCGGTCACGGACGCATGCCTTCATGACTGAATGAATGAAATACAAGATTTTCTAACAAGTTAACCCAGGGTGCTGAAATATAATTGGCTAAATTGGCATTGAGCGGGTTAAATGACCAAAATAAAGACATCGTTCCGGCACGAAAAACACATGTTCAAAGCAGAATATCTAACTTTAGCATTGTTTTTCACATAAACAAGAATGTTCACTTAGCATGTTTCTAAAATAAATGCAAATATACGATAGCATTTTAATGCTTTGGAAGAGTCAAAAATGTACATACAGCACCTTTAATTAGATTTTAAACTTTACCATTTCTTTGGGGGTGCACTATTCTGTGCTTCGGAATGGTTCTGGTATTTCAATTTGTCTGTTGCGTCGCATTTTGTGCATGTGCAATAGCCAAATTGCTTGTTGCCCTTATGTTGTTGTGTTGCGCGTTGTTAGGATGTGCTTTTTTATTTTTCAATTATGCTTTTACTCTTGGTAATTGGTCCATTCATTGGTATGGGCACTCACATTAGTGCCTTTGTTTAGTCATAATTTGTTAAACATCAGTGATAAGAGCAAGTGATGTGCACAGCCCTTGAGTGCTCTTTCTTACAATTTATTAGTATCATTAATTGTGATTTGTCTTCTCGCCTCAATTTATTTGCATACTGAATTGCGATTGGTCCTGACTTGTTAGGATAAAGTACAGAAACTGTGCTGATTCTTGCATGCATCTGACAGAAAAGAAGATGCATGGCAAACGTCATGACATGTGCATAAAAACAAAACTTTAGAAGGCTGGCATCAATTCCTCTGTGATTGCAAATATATATTCTGAACATTCTTCCTAATCTTAAAAGAAGCAGCTTCATTTAAGAATAAACAATCCTATTGCTTGGTATTTCATGCAATTTTGGTCATTTGGTTAAAAGTTATTGAATGAATGCAATAATATAATACTATTAGTGATATTGAAGATCACTTACTTTCATTTGAGCCTTGATTTTCATCCCATGATCTGATGTAATCATCCTGACAGAAATGAAAAAGAAGTCAAACAGTCAAATGAGCTGCAAAGAATGAACTTGAAATCTTCAGTCAATAATACTTCTACCACAGTCACATCTATTGTGAAACAAAACTTAAACATACAACACTAAGATTATGAAAAGCCATGGAAAAGCTCTAATGGAAAAAAAGGGGGGATGAAACTTTAAGGAAGGAAAATTCTGAGAGGTGAAACACGCTTGAATGAAATGTCAAGCAAAGACGCATAAGCAATTTAGACTGCATTAAAAAGTAGGCTACGGCTTTGACAGAGAATATTAGATGAAACATTTTAAAAGAGACATCAAACACAAGCAAAGTCATGATACAGCACTACTGACCTCCACTTCCTGGTGAAATGTGAGAAGGATGAATCAAAGACAAAAGAGAAGGAGACAGTTAGAGGAGAACGATGCATCTCCAAGGAGCAACTATCAAGAAAAAAGACATGCTACAAATGCTGGAAAACATCTATTTGCCTCCTGGGTGAAACTTTGAATACATCTGTTATATTCCCACTTGCGTCTTTATAAAAGAAGCAGTTGCTTTAAGATAATTATACACTTGGTCCTCATAACATTTACGGCTCGCTGACTAATAATAATAACCTTTTTTGTAAAGTTCAAAAGCTTATTAGTGTCATCAGCGGTAATATATCATTGCAGCTGTAAACAGGAGGGGAAATTGCATATTGATCGAATCTGGCTTTGTCAGCTACGAGAGTGCAATACATTATTATTTTTCTGCAGCAAATGTTTAAATTATAAGCAAAGTGGTGATTTATCATTTCAGAAGTGTCGAGTATTGCACTAAATAAAAGTTACACTTATTTAATAGGTCCACTTTAGCAGTATGTGGCATAAATGAGCCAGAATTACTAAACAGGGGATATTAGTGTAGTTTAATAAAGGCGCAGAGGGAAGTGGAAAGTTTTCCAAGTGACCGAATGTGTAAATTAAAGAAAGAAACACTTACTTTCAACTCACTTTCATTATTGACCAATGCAGTGAATAATCCAGCCATACACTCTCAGAAATAAAGGTACGAGAGCTGTCACTGAGTTGGTTTCTTTTCAAAAGGTACACATTTGTACCTAAAGGATCCCTAAAGATACCTTAAGGGTACATATTAGTACCTAGAAAGTACAAAGGTGTACCTCTTGAAAGTTGTAGGTACAAATATATGCTTCTGAAGTACCAATATGGACCCTTTAAGTTCAAATGTGACAGTGACAGCTCCCATACCTTTATTTCTGAGGGTGTACTTTGTAGAGAAAGCTAATTTAAAGCAATTTAGCAAAAAAACAGCGTTAAGGTATTTTAGTTTTCAACACAGGCTCATTGGAAATGTGTGTTTCAGTCTACATTTGGTGAAATAGCAAAAACGTACTTAAACTTTCGTTTGATCTATTTATGGTTGTCACAGTCACCAGCGATCTAGCCCATGCAGATCGCTAGAGAACTACAAATCTGCCAGCAAAAGAACTACATATCCAATTATGCACCACTCACACACCTGTCCTAGATCCCCATGATTGCAAACAGACACAGCTGAAACTGTTCAGGACTAATTACACAAACTATTTATGCACCTCTCAAACACACACACTTTGCTGAGTCTTGTTATACTTTAGTTGTGAATATAACAATGTGTTTTCTCTTGCCTTGCCTTGCCTTGCCTTGCCTTGCATTGCTGTGTTTTGACCCTCATCTTGTTTTTTTCCATTGCCTTCTGCCTGCCTCTTGGCCATCCACCTGTTTTATGACCACGACTCTGTTCCTGATTGTGACCGTTGCTTTCCTGATCATTCTTGATAAACCTGTGTTTGGATCCGCACCTTCCTTGTCCCATTTTGTATTTCTCTGTCTGTCTGTCTGTCTGTCTGTCTGTCTGTCTGTCTGTCTGTCTGTCTGTCTGTCTGTCTGTCTGTCTATCTATCTATACACTTTTGTGGTGAGTTTGCTCAGTAGCTCACTTTGTACAGTGTTGTACTGGAGATATTTTCCGATAATGTTGCTTCGGGAAAAGGAATATCTTACATATAAAACAAAATGTAGTAAGGACAGCCAGAAAATCTGCATCCATAGCTGTTCAGTGCTTAAGTTTCACTGTGTCTTTATTATAGTTTTTCTCTGTGGCTTTGGTGCATTTTTCACAACACTATATACATTTGCACAACAGTTAAAGCATTTCTCAAAACAATTAGTGCAAACTGCAAATCCTAGTTGATAACCTGCAAAAGTGTATCACTTGCTTAAAATGGATAGCTCCTTCCTCAAAAGCAAGTATTATGTCAATCAAAGTGTCAGTGTCATCAATATAAAAATTCCTGCCACCATTATTTATGAACAAGATAGTCAAATGGCTTTGTCATGTTTTCATTATGACAGTTTACTCTGTACATTTTTTTCAATGCAAAAAAAAGTCAGATTTTGGTGACACGCTATTAAAAAGCTCAAGACAGCACTATATACTATTTGCACAGCCATGTAAAGATTACAGTAAAGTTAGACATCACTGCATTTAGTGAGGTATCCGAGTAAAAGCGCTGAATATGTATGCTTCATATTTGTACTGCATATGCTCTTTGCGATTCTAATTTATTCACATCATCGTGCAAAAGGATAAATACACCTTAATTACAACAAACCTAAACTTCCTTTGGGTAGAGCTGTGCACAACTGTGAAAAATATTGCAGTACATATTGGAACTGAAGCTACAACACACATAGTTCTTTAAATCATTCATGAAATTGTTCAATTCAGAGGACATTTTCAGGAAAAAAAAAAAGATTTGAAGATTTTTATCAAATTAGCTTGAAAGATTTTGAAAACTAGTTCCACATTTTTGTATGTAATGACCTAAGTAAGGAGGACTATACGATTTATATGGAATGATCATTCAACATTTACAAGTTTAGTTCATTTTGACTGAAATAAAACTGCAGAAAGTTGCAATCGAATGAAAGCAATCGATGCATGTCCAAAAGCATTTGCAATTTGTTGTAAAGAATGAGAAACTGTTACTATGATGTGCACAAATCACTAATTGTTTTTGAGATGCATTAACTATTGTGCAAATGTAAATAGTGTTGTGAGAAATGCACCAAAGCAAAGTTGTAAATCCTGATAGTATTTTTTATAGAAAAAGAGTGTTTACACTGGCACAAGCTGTTAATAAATCTGGCCCATATGACACAAACTAAGACAATAGAAAATGGATGGCTCAAACAAGGGCAGCACAATATATCGTTTCAGCATTGATATTGCAATGTGATCATTCGTAATAGTCACTTCACATGTATACACAATATTGAGTCTATATATTATAACTATATCATATAATAAAAAATATCTAATATAATAATAATAATAAAAGTTTTTGAGGCCTGTGACTGTGAGGGCTGAAAAGCATTCAGGCCTAAGAAATTGTACAGAAATTAATTGTTTATAAAACAAGTATTGTTTAAAATTTGATTATTCAACTACAACATACCTGAATACAGTTTGACTCCTCTGAAAACAATCAAGCGTTGTTTAATTAACTTGTATCTTTTTCGTTATCGTATTTATTTATGCTAGGTTGTTTCTTATATTTTATGCATATGCACTCCCCACTCCCCAATCAATCTACAATGATAAATTTGTTCCAAATAGTTCTTCAGCCCATTTAGTGAAATGGTATTCATATCGCAATATTTATCGCAAAATAAAAAAATATTGCTTGATTTTTTCAATATCGTGCAGCCCTAGCTGAAACTTCACTGCTGCTCTGCAACAATCTGGACAACACTGTTGATTTACCCATATCAAAATGATTTAAATCTGTTTTAGCTGTGTGGCGTACTTAGACATCATATGTCGATATCAATGAACATCAAATGGACAGAGTGTTGAATATATTTTTTATCATTACTTTATGCCAATCGAAAAAGCCACGCATGCAAACACAACCCGAAATCCTTTAGGCATGCACTTTTAAGAAGAGGGAGTTGTATAGTCAGTGAGTGTGAAGTATGTGGAAAATATAGTGTCACATCAATGTGTTCCCCCTCTATGAAGAGACGCAAGGATAAATCAGAGCAGAGGAATACTGCCATTGAAAACCAAAATATTGCCACAACATTTCATCGAATTTTATTTGACCACCATCACAACACATAACCATCACTAAGATTTCTCAAAACCTTAAAAGGCTTAAGAAGACTTCTTTAAGCATAAAAAAACAATTCAGCATAAAATAGTCCTTCAGACTTTATAAGCAATAGACATGAAACAGCCATATTTTACAAACTGTATTTAATCTTTGCAAAAATAAATTCAACAAAGACATACATTGTTGTTTTGCAACATGTGTTAGGGCTAAACGATATTGAAAAAAATCTGACATTGCAATATTTTGTTTTTCTGCTATAAATATTGTATACAATTTCACCAGATGATACGATACATATAAACGATTTCACCAGATGACTTGAAAACTGCTATTTAAAAAGAATTTAATCATTTAGATTGAGTGGAATGATTCTAGAGGGAAGTGAATCATTCATAAAAATCATTAAAAAAAAATCATGAAAACAAAAAACAAAAACAAATTAAAAGCAAAGATAAAAGTATTTTAACTTTTATCTTTGCTTTTAATTTGTTTTTGTTTTTTATATATTTTTATTATATGATATAATTATAATATATAAACCGTGTTTTAGGGTTTTCAGGGCAGTCAAATAGTATTCAGGTTTAAATTTAAATTTAAGTTTAAATTTAAATAATCAAATGTAATAAACACTGCAGATGTCTAACTAATTCAATAAAATTATTCTTTATTAAAGATACAAATAGTAAAATTTATTGTGCCTGAATACTTTGAATGCTGTCAGACCTTAAAAATACATGCAAATGAAAAGATTTTACTCCATTATAGTTATACTCTCAATTCTCTAAATTAAAACTACACAATTCTCATGTGCCTGTTTCTCCTGGTCAGAATTTAACATTGCAGATCCTGCGTTAGGACTATCACGGATGTGCACATTGCAATATCAATGTTAAAACAATATATTGTGCATCCCTAACATATATCTTTATTTTTATACATGCTGCTTATTATACACATTGTCTACTGAAATTACAATGACCAAGGCATACACAACAGCATTTAATAGGTTCATTTCCAATTCTGAACCGTATTTTATACAGGGAATTGATGTTACTATAATATTAAAGGCTGACAGTTTGCTTATTTTTATTGAATTTATTATAATCAATAAAATGTGAAAGCAGAGACTTTGTTTCATATCAAAATTACTGAATCACAACGTGATTTTTTTATACAAATCAGCACATGCAGATG